TCCGCTTGTTATATATCTTGTAAGCCTTGCTTTGAGAAGAGTACCCAAGAAATATTCCTTTGCACTCTTGGCATCGAATTTACCAAGCTGATCCTTTCCATTGTTGAGAACATAGCATTTGCATCCAAATGTTCTTAGATGAGTCAGCTTGGGTTTTCTTCCATTCAACAATTCATAAGGGGTTTTATTCAGAAGTGATCTGATCATGCACATGTTCACTAAATAGCAGGCAGTGTTGACAGCTTCAGCCCAGAAATTCTTTGCAATTCCACTGTCAATCAGCATTGTTCTTGCCATTTCTTCTAGAGTTCTGTTCTTCCTTTCTACTACTCCATTTTGCTGGGGAGTTCTGGGAGCTGAGAAGTTGTGAGTGATGCCATTTTCAGTACAGAATTCATCAAATTTGATATTGTCAAATTCTGTCCCATGATCTGATCTAATGCATATGACTCTAGAATCCATCTTCACCTGGATTTTCTTCACAAAGGCCACAAATACTTCAACAGTTTCATCTTTTGTTCTGAGAAACAGAGTCTATGTGAATCTGGAATAGTCATCCACGATTAAAAAAATGTATCTCTTTCCTCCTCTGCTTTTCACCCTCATAGGTCCACACAGATCCATATGCAGGAGCTCAAGCGGCTTTGAGGTGCTCACATCTCTTTTAGACTTAAAGGAGGACTTCACATGTTTTCCTCTAGCACAGGCATCACAGACTTTTTGAATCTTGAATTGTGACATAGGCAGACCATGGACCAGGTCCTTCTGAATTAGTTTGTTCAGAAGGGAAAAGCTTGCATGGCCTAGTCTTCTGTGCCATAGTTCAGCATCATTGTTAACCGCTTTCAGATAACTCAGATCACCACTCTGTAAAGAATCGAAATCAGCAACATAGATGTTCTTGTATCTTTTGGCCACCAATACTATTTCACCGGTCACAAGGTCGGTGACTGTACATATTTTGGACAAGAATTCCACCTTGTTTCCTTTATCACAGATTTGAGAAACACTCAGGAGACTGTACTTAAGCCCATTTACATAGTATACATTTTCAATAGAATGAGTGAGTGACTTCCCAACTTTTCCAACTCCAAGAATGTACCCCTTTTGCCATTGCCAAAGGATACACTCCCTCCTTGCAGGGCTTTTAGTGAAAGAAAGTCTGTGGTGTTCCCAGTCATGTGTTTCGAACATCCATTATCCATGAACCATTGTTGACCGCTTCCTTTCACTGTTCCCTGCACAAGAGATTAGGAATTAGTTTTAGGAACCCAAACAAGTTTGGGTCCCTTGTAGTAAGCAAGAGGATGAATAAGAGCTCTCTTAGTCCATATAGGTAATGTGCATTTTTGTGAGCGGAACCTGGTCCCTCTTTTGTGGTCACAGTTTCAGCAGCCACTTTGTTTTTCTGAACTGATTGATTCTTAGCCTGGACGCCTTCCTTGAAGTGCCTAGTGTTCCCACATTGGGTACGAGGCCAGTTATCAGAGATAGTGACGCACTTACTGTGAGGGTTGTGAAGAGTTTTCTCCCTTTGGAACCCTGCTCCCTGCCTTTTTCCACTATCATTATTAAGCAAGGCAATGGTAGCTTCTGAGGACCAGGTCCACTTTAGAGACCTTTCAAGATCATTCATTACTCTTTCTAGATTGGTTTGGAGGAGCTCGTTTTTCTCAGTTTCAGCACACATCCTAAATCTAATAGCTTTTCACCTTATCTTCAAGCCTAAGGTATTCCTCACTCGCTATCTCCTTTCCTCTTTTAGAACTTTCAGGTTTTGACTTAGTCCATGGTTTACTATTGTTTCCCTTTGGTCTGCAATTTCTGCCAACGTATCACTCTTTTCTTTTCTAAGGATTTCAATGGTTTTCTTATGGTCAGTAACTGCAGCCAATAGGTCTTCTCTAGTATGTTCAGATTCTTCTAGTTCTAAGATCAAGGAATCCCTATCCTCCGCAAGACTACAAAAGGTAGTGATTAAAACATCAGTTAAACACACGAGTTTTTTTGGAGAATAGGATTTCATATTTCTCTGAACATCCCTGAAGTTTACCTCTTTGTTGTCATTGTCTTCATCATCATTTGATTGAGCCATCAAAGTAAAAGTTGAGTTATATCCAATCTCCTCGCCTTCAACTACCATCATGGAACTATCACCAGTATTAGGTTTATCTTCAGACTGTTTTACTTGCGTAGTTCCCTCATGAGCTGTTTGCAAAGTCTCCCATATTTCCTTTGCAGTGTCACAGGTAGAGATTCTGTCGTACTTTTTAGGTCCCATTCCATATACTAGAATTTTCTTGGCACAAAAATTCTTCTCCACAGCTTTCTTGTCTGCTTCAGTGTATTCTTTGCTGGTTTTTCCATTGAAAATGGAAATTCATCTAGTACCTTCATTGGAGCATAAGGACCATTGCAAATGATATCCCATAGCTCACAATCCTTAGCCATGATGAAATCGTGCATTCTAGCTATCCACCACCAATAGCATTTTCCATCAAACTTGGGGGGTTGGTATACTAATTGACCTTCTTCAAAATTTAGTGGAGACGCCATGAGGATCCTTCCTAGGTGTTAGCCTGATAGGAGGAACCTGCTCTGATACCAATTGTTAGTTAGTATGGGTCCACCAAATCGTAGAGTACCTGGTCCTCTACAAGGTTCTACTGAGAGTACTTAATAAAACAGTATGTAAATGAGGCAGAGGATTTTTACGTGGAAAAATCCCACACAAGGGGATCAAAAAACCACGACCTACACATGTAGGCTTTTAACTTCATTAACTTGTAATCTACCTATTACAAGCCACTTTACAATACTTCCTATTGCAAAGGATTTACTCAACTAACTTGTGGTACCTTTACCACAAGCCATTTTGTGACTATCCTAGTTACAAAGGCTTTTTCTAACTTATGATGCTATCACCACAAGCCACTCTGTAACTCTACGATTACAAAGACTTTTCCTTATGACTAAATCTAGTCACAACATAAACTCAAGGAGTTTACGGATTTACAAGAGGATTCCTAATCAAAATGCTTCTAGGTAAGCAGTTTAGGAGATACAGTAAGTACAATAACAAGGTTACAACTCAACTAGGACAACAACAATCTATCTTTTAGGAACTCGTCCGTAGTAGTGTTCAACCTTGTTCTTCAAGCTTGTGAGGATTGATTTTTCTATTTTTTGCAAGAGACTTGAATGAGAAATAGAAGCCTTCCAGTCATGTTTTGTATAAAGCTCATTGTGGGTACATCTTGATCACATCATTTGAAGTGATGTGAGTACTTTATTTGGTTAGAGAATGAGTGGGCGGACAGTGCACTACAGTGCAGCAGAAACAGTATCGTCAGTCACTTCATTTCCAGCTGTGTCCAATTGACTTTGTACTGCTATGAGGAAACTACAAGAGCATCAGGTCCTTGTGTTGGTTCCTAGATCCTGAAGCTGTAGCAGTTTTAGCTGGAATCCGTTAAAGCTTGCAGCAATCCAAGTAGGTCAGGTTCCCTATCTGGTTCTTAACAGTAAGTTTGTTAGATCATCAAAAAATAAGGCAAGAGTATTTAAGATCTATTAGAACGGTATTCCGGAGATCCCCCAACACTTTATATTTACTTTGAAACTACGGAACGGTATTTCGGGAGATCCCCCTGCACATTTACGTTTGGGACTACAGGACGGTATCCTGGGAGATCCCCTATTGTTATCTCTGTGTTCTGAGATGTTGTCTTTCTATGATTCTATTCCTGTTAGATTTTTGTATTTATTTTGACTGTGATATTTTATTATATCTTATTTCATTATATTTATACCAGTAGGGCCCTGACCTGATCTCGTCACTACTCGACCGAGGTTAGGCTAGGTACTTAGTGGGTACCATTGTGGAGTAGTCACGCCCTTTCCTGCAGTCGCTGCTACTTATTGGAGACTTCAAGGTACATCTGCCCCCGCCCGCAGATCCTCGGAGTCCCCCTCTATCCCCCTATGTTCACTTTTCATTCTTTCTGTAGAGATGATGTATAGAACAGTTAAGACTTCTTAGTAGCTTGTGACTTACGGTATTTCGGATTTTGAAAATTGTTTGGTACATTTCAGAGGTGATAATTGTATATGCCGAGTGGCATTCAGTTGCTTATTAGATATTTGTTACTATTAGTAGTTAATGTTCATGCTTTTATTTCATTTCTGCAAAGTGTTAGGCTTACCTAGCCGTAGAGACTAGGCGCCGTCATGATAACTCACGGAGGGAAAAATTGGGTCGTGACACTATGATCAACCATTTAATTAGTTTTCCTAATAAGAATATAAGAATTATATTCCATTACTTAGCTAATAATAATCCTAATATTATAATATAAAAATTAAATGGTTATAATCAATTTATGTTTACTAATAAGAACAACTATATTCTTATTTAAGAATTTTAATTGGATAATACAATTACAATAGCCAAGGAATTATAAAAGGAGAAATAAAAAATATATTTCAGGAAAAATATCAAAAATATTAGTAGAATTCCGATTAATAAAATTCATATAGTGTAAACTATAATTTAATAATTAAAATATTTAAAAATAAAAGAATTCCAAGCAATTTATTAAACTGTATATATTAATTAAATTTCTCTTATGAAAATTTTAGCTAAATAAAACTCATAATTCTAATTTGAAATAAAAAGAGAATTTTTTTTGTTTTGCATATAATACAAAATAACAACTATTAAAATTATCGGTAGATTTTTTTTAACGATAATAAAAGGCTTCTTTTTTATACATTAAATGAATTCAAAATTCATAATTTTCTAATACATATTAAATTATTTAATTACATTGAAAAGTAATTATAAATGTTAAATAATGAAAAGAAATGAAAAATGAAAAAGAGATAGAAAAAACAAAATATTGTTGGTGGAAGGAATTGAACCTTGGACCACAAGGCCAAAACCAACTGTATCTATAGCCTTTAACAATTGCAACATTCTGCACTCTACTTCTTTCTTTATAAATTTACTTTATGTGCTTTTTCTGCGCCATGTGTATTTCCAGAACTTAGGGACATAGCGCATTGAATTAATGCGTTATACCTATTTTTGTCTCTCCTTTTTTTTTTTTCTCCATAGCGAGTTTGGTTGCTCGAGTCTAATTACATAATAGACTCGTGAAAATTGTTCTTCTCTTTGGTCAATGAGTCCCTAAAAGGCTACGGGGATGTAGAGAGAATTGTTATCGAGATTAATGTCCTCCTTTTGGTCAAACAAACCTTTCTCACTTGAGACGGAGTTTTTCCTATAATTTTACCAGATCTATGGCGCAAATATAGGGTGCCTTTTTGTCTTGTCTTTGCGTGCGCAGCTAAAAGTAAAGTAAAAGAGCCAAAAAAGGGGGAAAAGAAGAGCTAGCTTAGATTGATCAACTCCGGTATGGGTGCACCGACGCATAGCCATTGTCAACGACAGGTTCCCAGAAAGTTACTTTTCAGCCTCACCCTTAATTTGACAATGGAAAAGAGTCCACTGTTCACATGCACGTTAAGACTGACAAGTCTTTTTGTCCTTTCTTTCTCTTGTATGTATGCTACGAAACTCCTTTCTTGTCAACCATACTTTTATAATTGCAGTGGATAGGACTACTCCTCCCTTAAGTAGAGGTCTCGACTTCGAGCCCTGGGTTTGGAAAAATTCTTGGTAGGGAACGCTACCCCCGAATGGGTTCTACCCGGCGCGAATCCGGATTAGTCGGGCTCCAATGTGGGTACCGGATACCGAATGAGAAATCAAAAAAAAAAAATACTTTTATAATTGGAGATTTCAATTCATTATATTGTAGTACTACTTCTTTTCTCTAATTTAGTAGCTCCTCTTTTTGTCCATTAGTGAGAGTTAATCGTTTACCAATTTTTGAATGATATATGTAAATTTGTTAATTTAGACAATACTCCAATTAATATTACTAAAAGTTCAACATATACTTATGTAATGTTTAAGGGGATTTTAGTCCAAGTTAGTTATTACGTCTTACATTTTGTTGATAGAACATATTGCTAGCATAGGTCTGAATTGATAATCTATGCTGAAAAAAAGAAAGCTAGTGAGTTTCGTGTTTTGTGGCACTCCATGAGTTAAAACTCTAGTAATCATTAAAAATTAAACCACTATTATTGATTTCTTAATGATAAATGTACCATAGAAATTTTCAGTTTCGTGGCGAAAACGAAAGGTACAGTTCGTGTCATACTTTAGTATTTAATTTCTTGAGTCCTATTTTAATTATTAATATATTGAAAGTGCAAAGTTTGGTGGAAGGTGTTTCCATTAATTCTCCTAAAGTTGGAAACCTTTGCTTGACCTTTAAAAAGTGTAGATTATGCTATTACCTAACTTAATAAACCTATATAGATAGATAGCTCCATATATACCCCACCCCACTCACCTAAGCAACCCACTCAACTAGACTTCATCTTTCACTTGTAGCTTACAAATTAAAGAAGAAGAAGAAACATCATTTCTCCAAGATTTCCTCCCCTTTGCTTTGTTTAACTTCACCAATTTTCCTGTCTCTGGACCAAACAAATTATGGAAATGGTAAGTTCCTCTTCTCCATATACATGATGAAATTTCTTGTAAGCATTTTTCGTTCTATACGCATATAATGGATATATAATGTATTATAGGAGTGTAAAAGAAGTGGACAAATTCCAGTATTTGGAGATTGGGATAATGCAAATGAGATGCCAATTACACAGTATTTCGAGTGTGCAAGACAAGCAGGGTTGATCCGCCATAGCTGCCATTCATCACTTGAAGAAAATAATACTGACCTTTATGCTCTTCATTTCCACAAACCTCACTTTTATGCTATCCCTAATGCTCCTCAAAGAAAGGTCAGTTTTCTTAATTTTTTCCATTTTTGAATCTTGGAGATGTGCGTATTTATATTTACACTTGTTAATATATATAAATAGTTTGTGGAAAATAAGCTTCCAATCGTTGGAGAGTACACAGTACACAAATTTTAATTTTATTAAAGCTTATTTCAGTATTGTCGAACAAGTTAGAATTTAAAAACCAAAAAGAATTAAGGAAATAACTTTTCCAATCAATATTATCCGTCTATTAAGATTTTTACATATATTTTAGAAAACATATTCAGCAACCTTATTGATAAGAGTATTTGTGGACACTTCACTTATTTGATTGAAAAGCAATACTCATAAACTTTATAATTTTCTAAAATGTAAAATAAAAATTAAGTATAATTGCTAAAACGATTAATATTTGGAGCATAAAATAGTAATATGCTATAGTCGTGAATCGTGATAGTCTGTTCAAATTTCTGGTACGAAATTGTATAGCCGTAAACCCAATATGTTGATAATAGAGTACAATTATATTAGGTATAAGAAAATGGGGTTCTTTGGATCTTAGAACTCGTGTTCCTCAAAGAGTCATTGGAAGTAGCAAAGCTTCCAACAAACTCAACCCAATTTCAACATTGGACTTGGAAAGTCAAGATTTGATGCTTGACTTTTTAGCCCCATTATTTGCCTCGAACTTAGTATATTATATATGTATTTTTAGGCAGAACGTCAATTATTCAAATATGTACAGCATGTTCAGCAACTGTCTCATGGACCGTCTACCATGTGAAATATAATATGCTGTTCTAAAGATTCCAGAGTAACGTGAAAAAGAAAGGGAGAGAATTTGTTTCAATCCCAAATTAGTTAAGTTGACTAAATGAATTCTCATTTTTTTTCATGTGAAACTAAATTACTGTAGATTGAATAATAAACTCGTAAGTGCAGACAAAGGCAGCAATAAATAAGAAGAGGTGTCCAGAGCAGAAATGGACAGGTAAAATAGAGAAATTAAAGAACGAAAGTGGGCCTACAATGAAGTCCGCAACAGTGGCCCAACGGCCCACAAATCCCAAACCTGTGGATGAAGATCTCTACAAAATTCCTCCTCATCTTCTTCCCGGCTATAAGCGAGTGAGTCTTTCTCTCCATATCCTTTTACTTCTCCCCAAAAAAATATTTCCGTATTCGATATTTGTAAACCAATATATATAAATATATATTTTGTACACTTTTTATCACTTTGCATGATTATTCGATATGTGTGTTTTGTACACTTTTTATCACTTTGCATGAATAATCGATGTGTTTATCCTTTATCTGTGAATCTTTAGGTTAAATTTCCTCGTCTGATATAAAAACTAGTATGGGCACATTTTTGCCCCTTCCTTGGCTGTTTCCTTGTTTCGAGCTTGTCATTTTTTACTATTTTCAGCACAAAGTTTTACAAATTTTTGATAATAATAATAATAATAATAATAATAATAATAATAATAATAATAATGATGATGATTTTAGAATAAATTCAAGTAGTCCCTCAATTTTAATTTATTCACATTAATAAAGTTTCTGCAATTATTTGATAGTTAAGAATACCGACAAGATCTGTCGAATCAAACGTGGACAAACAATAATATGGCAATCGGAAAAAACAAAAAGAAGGTTGTCAACATTAATATTGCATCTCTACTTACTGAGCCATCATTCGAAAAATGACTTATCTCCAAAATAATCAAGAAACACGAGCTTTCTTTTTCTCTGTTTGTATCTTAATTTTTTTTGTAAAGAAAAAGCAGTATGAAATTGAGAAAGTGAGTTCACCTTCACATTCAATGATTTTGCTTACACTAAACCAACTGATAAAATAGCATTTTCTGACCCTTTTCATTTCATTCATTGTTTTTGATATGGATACAGAAGAGAATGTTTGGATTCTTCTCAAGATGCCTTGCTCCTCCTTGTAAGGCATAAGTATCATCCCCAAAGGCTATTGGACATGGAGATATATTCATACAAATGGCAAATATCATTTCAACTTCAGTATCGTGGCGAAGCTATTTTACTATAGGGCCTCCATCTTGAGAAAAAAGAAACATTTAATTACTAGCTGCAATCACATTTTAGAAAGCATCAGCTAATGAAATCTTCTTTTTGTAGAACTAATAGGTAGTATATGAATGATTTTTATATCAAATGTCGTTGGATTGTTTGTTTATGTCACTAAAGTGATATTGACTACACTAATTTCAAGTTAGTTTTCATGTTTTTATTGATAAGGAATTGCTATTTGCTCATCCCTTCATCAGCAAGGAATATAATTCGACTGAGTTTTTGTCCTAAAATTAACCAAACGCCATGATATCGTTTCAGGCATCACTACCCTGAACCAACTGAACCTATAAACACTAAACCATCTGGAATATTTGTATATATACATGTACAAACAAGACGCAGAAGTAGGGGTGGCAAAATGGTTCAAAGAAAACAGTTAACCACCCATATTATCCACTAAAAAATGGGTTGGATAATGAACTTTTTAAAAACGGATCAAATATGGATAAGAACCATATTATCTATTTAGAAAATGGATAACCAATGAGTAACCATGGATAACCAATGGGTCTAACTTTTACATTTGTAAAGCCTCAAATTGGGGGTTCCTCAAGTTAGGGAGACTAAGAATTGTCCCAAAAGTGATCATATACAAGAAGTCATGGATAATACGGGTAGCCCATATTATCCGCCGGTTAACCCGTTTTTTATCCGTATTAAATATGGGTCGGGTCGGATAATTGATCCGTTTTTTCATTACCCGTTTTCGACCCGAACCATATCCGACCCGACCCGCCCGTTTGCCATTCCTACGCAGAAGACAGCAAACTCAATAGTAAAGCAAGAGAGCAGCAAATTTGAAGATTATCAGAGAAGCCACAAGCAGGATGTATCTAGAGAAGCCACAAGCAGGATGTATCTGTTTATAAGTAGAACAAACTACTAACAATGAAACTTAAATGTACTTATTGTTGAGAATTTCATTTTTACAGTAATCTACAAGCCTAAGATGGACATGTAAAAGAATCTATATCTTCCTACAAGTATAGAAATTTGTTTGTATAAGATCTACTAAGAAGCAAGATCACTTACATGGGGTGATTAGGAATGTACATATACCCAAAATATTCAACCTCAAGTAGTGTGCACAAGAGAAACACATCTATCTAGCCGCTCAAGAATGCCATTTGCCTTCCTCTTGGCTCTAGAGGTCCCGCTTTTAGCAAGATTAGATATCGTCCCATTAACGCTCTCATCTAACCAGATCTCTCTCAACTTCGTACGGTCATTATAACACATTGTATAAAGGATTGCAATGCAGTTCTCCTTGTTGCGATCACTTGTTTCCTCGTTTATGATACTTAGGAGACAAGAGACTGCACCCAGCTCCTCTCCCATTTCCTCGATAGCCTTGTGATGACTGGACAGCAGGGCAAGAATAGCTAATAACTCGTCAATGAGTACGCGATCCCTGATCTTCTTTATAATCACCTTTATTGCTCCTTCAGCGACAGCTCTACCCTTATTCTCGTGGACAATGCTCAGATTAAAAATCGCTGAAGCGGCATCTTTCATGGCCAACGGTTGTCCCTCATTCAAGAGGTCAATTAAAGGCTTGAGAGCACCTGCCTTTGCGATAATATGCTTATTTGAATCAAGTGCTGATAATGTGAAGAGAGCAGCAGCAGAATTGCTTCTTGTTTCAACTGTTCCAGACTTCAACGACTCAACAAGAAAAGGAATGGCTATAGGATTTTCTGCTACTAGCTTTTTATTGCTGTCATGTATTGAGATGTTCAGAACTGTTGTGACCAAATCTTCTTGTAGATCAGGATGAGTAGTCACGTTACCAGACAAGAGAGGATTGAGCAATTTGGAAATGGCATCATTGCACTCCCCGAAAACAGCCCGTAGAGATGGCATCTGTTTAGTCAGGACGCGAACTTCTTTTGCAGCTTTTTTCTTCTCCGGAACATTACTAGAAGACAATATCTCAAGCAGTGAATTTAAATGATCTCGGTCTGCATTTGTGATTGTCTCAAGGTCCTCATCATGAGAAGGGCCAGGCAGCTCAATTCCATGCTTCTGGCACCACTGTGAAATCATTTTCCTCACAAGATGATTTGGGGTGAGAACTGAATGGGAAAGAACCTGCTTTGTTTCAGGGCACATACGATTGCCATCCTTCAGCCACTTTTGAATGAATGGTCTGTCATATGTCTGCAAACCACGATAACATACATTAAATATTTAATGAAACCAACCATCTAGTGAACTCCGAGTAATCTAAAAGATAGAAACAGTTTAACGATTTCCAAAATGAATAGTTGAACAAGAGAAATTATCAGGAAGGAACCAGAACAGAACATTGACAGGAAGGCAATTTGGTAAGAAGTTACTCTGCGCTTTGTTGAATTTGGAAATGCAAAATCTTTGCCAATTTAAATTATACCGAATAACATAAAGTAGTATTGTCAAATAAATTTCACTTTATATATTTATGTGGAAACCAAGTACAACTAAATCTAGCCAGTGCATTTTCAAGAACAGATAGCTTTGTGATTCCGCTCCTCTCCCGTCTCTCATGTTTACACTGCTAGAAAAGATTTACAGATATTCTTTTCCTGAGCTATTCATAAACAACACTATGAAAGCGATTTTAACCATCCCCCTCCCCTCTCTTTCCTAAACCAAAAAGAGTAACAGATACAGTTTATGCTATATTTACTTTTCAGATTTCCTTTTTTTTTCCTAGATGGCTAGAGGAACACCATGATATTCAGCGGGTGAACTATAATAGCAAGTAGGTGTGGACCTCAGAGGCGGATCTAGAATTTCTAGTACATGGGTGCACTACTGAAAAAAGAAGGAAAAAGTGTATTAAGCAGGAATTGATCCCTATTCCTCTAGGTAAATAACTCAAATTTCAACCAAGTGCATCATTTAACCGTCGTGGAGCATGGGTACCAGTAGTTAATAACATATTAATTTTAGAAAATACGTACATAAAATATCTAATTTTGCGGAAAGACCATGGGTTCACGTGACCCATAATATTGCCTATAAATCCGCCTCTAGGTGTGGGCACTTCTTTTGGTTTGAACTATAATCTAGTTGAACAGTTATATGTATGTTGCAGACATGAATATAAACCACACAGAAGATTGACTTAAAATTCTCAATTCGCCTCAGATAATATACTTACGGCAAACAATCACGAGTACAGTACAATATACACCTTTCAACAAAATAAGTGGAAATCACAATTTATGCTTCATATATCTGGCATTCTTTTTCTGTTTTTTTCTTTTTTCCTTTTTTTTTTTCCCCATGAGTTTTTTATCCGGCGAAATAAGTAGAAACATACATCATCCTACAAGTACCACCTAGATTTCTTGCTTTTGTAGATAACAAGACAATGTTATGGTGAGAAAGGTTTGCTTTGTCCTGACACTGGCAGGACGAGAAAGAGAAGCAATAAAATTAATTTCCTTTATTTCCTAGCTACCCTAAGAGAATTTAGACAAATATCTCAATAAAAATAACTCTTCAGATTTTTTCAGAGCCATTAAAATCTAAAAACTGTTTCACAAATAAATGACAACATATACTTATAATAAATGTACACATGTGAGATGTGTGTCTAACAGATAATACGTCTTCCCAAAGTTTGAACACTGTGTATCAATAATACAAAAACTAAGAGTATTACTTTTAAACAGTATACATATAAAATTAAAGACTAATTAAACAAAGCAATACATAGAAAGAAGAAGAAATTACTGAAATTAAAGGGTGAGAAGGAAAACAAACAAACCTGACCAGAAGCCAAAACAACAGGGTCTTTCATAAGCTGACCAGAAAGCGGGCAAACGAATTCATGGGGTGGAATTGGTAAACTCAAAGAAAGGCTACGAATATCCAAAGGATTTGAATTCAAAGGTTTCAATTTCAATTCTTTTAAAGCACATAAACACTGCATGGCTCGATCGGTGGCTTCTAAACTGTAATCATCGTCTTCAACTACAGCCTTTACTGCTCTCTGCAACTCCCTTTTCAGTTCTGCCGCCTCTTTAGCCGCCGCCGGTAGCCCTCCTCCGCCCTCTACGGTGGTTTTCGCCATTCGAAGAGTAATAGTATTATTATTATTATGGAATTAAAGGAATTTTTAGCGGAAAGGGACAGTGTAATAAGAAGCTGTAGAAAGAAAAGAAAGAAGTGGTGGTTACATAATTTTCTTACTTTCGGTTCCGTCTTTCTTGCCCACTTTCTTTCTTTTCTTCCCTCCTAAACCACCTTCTTCCTTTTCTTTTTCTTTGTTTTGCAATTTTTCCTTTTTCAAGTTATTTTAATAATGTTTAAAAACATGGTATAAGATAAAATAAATATTTAAATGATTCTTGCATAAAGAATGTTCTTTTATGGTTTCCCACCATTTTATATTAAGGGTAAAGCGCTCCATAACAATGGCGATTTTATACCCAATGACTCGAACCCGAGACCTCTGGTTAAGGATGAAGGAGTACTTACCACTCCACCACACTCCTTATTTGTGCATAAAGAATGTCCATTCGGCGTGACTTATATGATACTCTTTTCATTTTGAGACGTCTTAAACTATTTCAAAAGTTTTATTTTTGTATAACTTTCACATTCTCCTCAAATTAAAATCCACTAAATCGTTCAAAACTTAAATATTAATATAATGTTTATTTACTTATTTAAATTGACTTTTTTATCATGGTAGTATTTGAATCAGTTTACGTGTACTTTGATTATTTTATCAGATATCTACTATTTCACATCAGTGTAAATATTTGATAATTTTGTCCACCAAAATTTTAACAAATAAAACAAGTCACCTAATAATTTTTTCAACATTTTAATCACTATGTCAATATATTCCTCCAATATTACTAAGAATATAATATATGAGTATGTCAAATAGATTACATGAAATGAGATGAATAGTAGTATTATTTTATCCCATTAGTGGTTAAGATTTTTTATCTTATTTAGGAGTAAAAAATATAGTAGGAATTGGATTACAAGTTGGACAAGTAATCTAGCTAGGCTGCTAACAAATGTGTCAACCTTATTGAGTAGTTTTAACCGTCCCTCTTGACTACGTTGGTTTCCACTTTCCATTATTATTTCAAACCAAAACTGGAAATTAGCGTGTCCCCCCCCCCCCCCCCCCCTCCCAACAAAACACACCCCCCAATAATTGGCGTTTTCACTGTACTTCATTTTTCGCAGAATTTTATTATTTTCTTACTGTTATTACTTAGTAGTAGTATTTACCAGGGACAACGTTTCGAATCTTTTACTCGCATTATTTATTACACATCTAGCAAGCGACAAACAGATAAAATAAGATTCCATGACCCCACCATATCTTAATATTGCATAATTAGAAATAGCCTATATGCTTAACAAAGTTCTAAAGTTACGAAAAGGTGTCGACTACGAATCATCCATCTTTGGAAAACAAATCGTGGATATTATGTAATTATGAAAAAGGTTATATCTATGATAATCTATGAAAAAGGTTAAATCTTCACTTCGGTCCATGTACTATGCAAGAGCCGTTTTTACGTAGTCCATGCCAGGGGCGGCTCAATTACATATGCGATCTAAAGCCAAAGTTTAACGTGAGGTTTAAATTTCTTTTTAAAAAAAGTTATAATATATATTTCTATTTAAAGTTTATTCTTCTAAATTTTTGAGATGCTAAGTTGTTAATAATATTTTTATAATTAATTTTTTAAATAATATCTTTTCAACTAATATAACAACCCATTTAATCTTTCTTGGGACATTATTGATCTTAGGTAAGATCAATAATGTTAATTTTGAAAAACTTCTTTCGCTGAGGCAAATTTAATATTATTCTATAACCAATAATAAGCATTTGGAAATGAAAAGTCTTTTTATTTAATTGAGTATATCAATTAGAGTACTATCTTTAACTTATAGTATTTCCAGGGCGGTTGTAATGTAGTAGCTACGGGTTCGGACGAACCCAGTAACTTTTGCTTAAACCTTGTATCTGTATTAGAAAATTTATTAAATATGTAAAAATATTAATCGCGAACCCAATAAATACAATGAGCTAGGGTTCAGTGATAAGATCAGAACCCATAAATTTCAAATCCAGGCTCCGCCTCTAACTATTTCCCTTATCAAATCAATTTCATTTCACATGTTAAATATTCATACTATCCATTTTAAGTAAGCCAAACAGTTACTGTATTTACATATCAGTCCTTTTATATGAGAAAAGGGTATTAAATATTATTTTTTTAAATACTTATAAACCTATTATATCTAAAAAAAAAAAAAAAAAAAAAAAAAAAAAAAAAAAAAAAAAAAAAAAAAATTAGGAGCCTCCCAAATTTGGGACTTAAGGCACTTGCCTTATTAACTACAACATAATTAAAGCCTCACTGATCCATACTCAACTAACTGGATTTATGATTCATCACACTTTTCATGCAATTGTAAATTTAAACTTGTTTATAACCAACTAATTCGGGAGCGGCTCCGCTCCATTAGTGCTTGCTCCAGTGGTTATCAATGTATGTTTAGATTAACTACACGTGTCTATGTGAATCTTCAAACGATGAGATTACTTTTGTTAATTTTCTATTATTATGCTTATATTTCCGTTAGTAGTAAGTTATAACCAAAAAAGTCGATTAATACTTCGTACTTTATAGACGAATATAATAAGTAATTAAACTTATATAAAGATAACATTGACAAATAAAATTGTTCACCCGTAAAACGCTACAATTAAATTTATACATGGTTTATAGACAAGCGAATCGATTTGATCTCAAAATGATAAATAAATTAAATAAAAATGTAAGACTTAGCGTTGAAATCGCGATAAGACAGTGGAGAGCTTGGTTCAGGTGGCGGAGCTTGCTAAGGCAGTAATAACGATATTAAGAAGCAAGAAAATAAAATATTATTGAGCTTTTAAACAGCATATAGCATAAGTTTTCGGAAAATTCGTCGTCCCTACGTGGTTGTTGGAGTCCTTATTTATAATGTGGTGAACAAGGTCATAGGATCAAGCCTCTCTTAAATGATAATTATGGGAGCCATTGAAAAATGTGTAACGGCAGCTTATGAATGCCATATTCTATAAACGGACTATGTATTTAATGTGCAGAATATTCTTCATTGAATGCTATGGGGTGACAGGTATTAAATGCTCGTATAACAGAGTGACACGTGGAACTAGAGACACATGGACAATTATTACTATGTTTATTTGTTCAGAAAATGTAATAATTATTCCATTTTCTGAATAAATAAACATATTCACCCGACTATGAAATAAATGAGCAATTTAATAGATACAATGTAGCTAGTGGTATCAACTTTCACAGATTTTAGTTTTTTCTTTCTTTTTCTTCAATTATTACTATCAACGGGAATATATAAGCATAATAATAGAGAATTAACAAAAACAATCTCATCCTTCGAAGATTCATATGGACACGTGTAATTAATCAAAATATGCATTGATAAATACTGGAGCAAGCACTAATTCCGTGTTCAGTTTGTCCTATATTGGTTATGGAAGGTGTATTTGGTTTCCTTGTATGTTTTTGGCCATTCTTATTTATGAGCTAGTTTTTCAGGTTAAATTAGGTTTAATAAGGTCTATCTTTTATTACGGTGTACCCATTCTTGATTGGGATTTTTACATTCCTATGCCATATAGTATACGATATTACCCTCCATGCTTAATTTTTAATATAATTACCTTTTATATGCCTAATTACCATTTATGTACATTTTAGGGATTTTAATGATATTAATTAGTCTCCTAATTTAACTCTACCGTATATTCCCACTCCCCCCAAGTTTCTCTCTCCAAATCTCACCCCTCCACCCACGTATCAAACCACACCCCACGATTTCCTCTTCAATCACCCACTATTTCCTCTTCTAAAACCAGCAAAAATCGTAACCCCTCCACCATTGACAACCATTAAAAAACTTTGAAGCTTTGAATTCGAATTTGGGTTTTCAAAAGACATTGTTTGTTTGGATTGGATGTTGTTGCAAAGAATTGAGAATTCTCTCTACGTCTCTCTCTATCTCTCAATCCCAAATTTCAGTAATATAAAGCAAAAGAAAAAAAAGCAGCAATTCCACCATTGACAGCCATTAAAAAGCTTTGAAGCTTTGAATTCGAATTTGGGTTTTCAAAAATCATTATTTGTTTGGATTGGGTGTTGTTGCAAATAATTAGGAATATGGTTTGGAGTTTATATCTCAATTTTGAGGGGTTTTGGTGAAGATTAGACTTGGTTTTGGCTGAATTTCAGATTGAAACTCGAAGAAAACTGTGACGACCCAAATGGTCAGAAGAAGACGTATATTGCAGAAATTATACAAAAATTATAGATAAATTGTAGAAAAATTGTAGATTGTTGTTTATTTATTTTTGAGCTTTGTGTTTTTGTGTTAAAAGTTTTGATGGGAGCTTGTTATTCCACTTCGTCTGTTTTGGAGCTAACTTGTGCAGAGGAGAAGATGTTTTTTAAGTTATATATATTGCTAAAACTTTAAATTCAAGAAAGTATGGTTGTATTGTATTTAAAGAGGCGTGAATTTGTAGAATAGGTTGAATGTGAGGAATGAGTCAAATAAGACTCACAATGGCTTATTTTCTACATTTAATCTACAACAAAACTACATATCATTTGAAAAATTAATATGAAAATACAGAATTTCAATGTTTCTACAAAATTTCTTAAGAAGATCTATCCCTTCATCATGTTTTTTGGATTCCATATTTAGCATAGCAGTTTCGTAAGCAGTAACAAGAGAATATAGGAGAATCACAGAATTGTAGCATAATCGGGATTTTCGACATAATTGCGTTTTTTGCAGAAGATTTGTAGAAGTTTTAGTCGTTTTTGATTTATGAAAACAGAAAACAAAGCATCTACAATCAAAATACAAATAATCTACAATTTATCGACAAAATATCTACAAACTGGGTACATTGAATTTTAATATCTCAATTCCCATTCAATTGTAGCATAATTGGGATTTTCGACATAATTGCGCTTTTTGCAGAAGATTTGTAGAAGTTTTAGTCGTTTTTGATTTGTGAAAACAGAAAACAAAGCATCTACAATCAGAATATAAATAATCTACAATTTATCTACAAAATATCTACAAAGTGGGTACATTGAATTTTAATATCCTTTAATATCCCAATTCCCATTCAATTGTAGCATAATTGAGATTTTTGACATA